GTTGCGGGTGCGACGGCTGTTGCCGTGGTGGTGACCGGCGGGCTGGGCTCCATCCTGGAGATGCAGGCGCTCGGCGTGTTGGCGAGGATGTCATGCGCCTCGGCGCAGGAGCGTGCGAGCACCGTTGCGCTGCCGTACTTCCTGTCGGTGTTCGCTGCCCTTGATCCGCTGTGGATGGTGGTGGGCAACGCGCTGCTCGCCGCGGTGTTCGGCTGCGTGCACTACGGTGTGACGGCGGCCTTCCAGCGGTGGCGCGGCGTGGACGCAGCGAGTGCGTGGGCGGCGATGCGCTTCCCGAGCCTGACGTACGTAGTGGCGCACGCGATGCACCTCGGCATTTTCTTCGGCTCCGTGTTTGCAGTGGCGATGCCCGGTGCCCGCGCGCAGCACTACGTGATTGGTGTCGTTGGCGTGCTTTACGGTGTGGCGTTCCCTGCTGGCGTGTGCTACTTGATTGCCCGCCACACGGGTGCGAGCTTTGCGAAGTACTGGCAGTTTTCGAGGAAGCCGCTGCACGAGCGCCTGCTGTACCCCGTCGGGTATTGGTACCCCGCGGCGCAGCAACGGATGTACGGCGGCATGCTGACGAACATGAAGGGCAACTACGTGTACTGGTGCGTGTTCCAGCTGTCGGTGCTGTGCGTGGTGGGCCTAATTGCTGCTGTGCACCCGCCAGTGGGAGTCTGCCACGTCCTGTACTTCTGCATGGCTGCCGTGCTGCTTGCGGGTGCGGGCGTGGTTGCCTTCACGAACATGATGCGCTCGGCCTTCCTGACGGTGATGCACGCGGCGAGCTTTGTGCTGCTTGCGGCGCTGTGCCTGACCAGCGCGGCCAACCATCTTGCGCCGAGCGACGGCGGTGCGAGGGCGTACGCGGCTATCGTGCTGCTGCTGACCACTGTGCTGCTTGCGGCCACTGTGTACTGTGCGGTTGTGTGGTACGTGGAGGACCGCCACTGGCAGGAACTGCGCGAGCCGCAGCGTGGAGGGCTGGATGCGCTGCTGCACGATGACGAGGAGAGCGACGAAGAGTTGCGGAAGCACCACGACAGGACATCATCGTCGTACGCTTCAGGCAGCGCCGGCGCGTCGTCGTACCGACCACCCGCACCGCCGCAGTGGGAGCGCATCATTGGTAGCAACGAAGGCAACCCAGATACCATTGACCGTCAGCCGCAGCCACTGGCAGTCGACACCCACTCCAACGCATTAAGCTTCGTGGACCGTGCATCAACTACACGTGGGAGCGTGAATCACGCTATCCTGTGACATGCGCCACGTGAAGGTTGTGTGCGGTGCTGAACGGGGGGAGATGGCGCGGGGCCACGGCTGCTGCGCGCCACGCCCAGACATTGTATGGCGCACCAACAGTGTCGTTCATTTTTGTTTTCATTGGCGCCTTTCTATTGTCTTTCTTTTCTGCCAGTGTTGGCTTGACTGTCTTGTATGTTCTGAAAGTATGTGTGGGGTTTTGTCCATAATTTTATTTTATCTTTCTAGTTTACACCAACTTCACAGTGTTTTTTTTTTTTTAGGAGCTTGTGAAAAGAATGATCGCGGGAGAGCTGGCTAACTTAATTAATGTATGTGTATATCCTGATAAATGAATGCATTCTTTATGATACTCTCCACCGTATGAATCTTTTGGGAAGAACGCGACTTTAAGGGGCAGGGAGCCGATAGAGGCCGGATAATATCTGTTTTATTTTGCCATCCCACCCACCCCCTTGATTCCCACCACGCGGCGGGGTCTTGTGGTTGGAGGACCCCAAAGTCTGCCACTTCGTAAGTAATAATACGTAAATCCTAACTGAGAACAAAGGACCATGCTAATGGTCCACGGAATTCTATATATTGAATGAAAAGAAAACATTGAAGCAATTAACTAACGAACCTTTTTTCCCTAACTTGTTTGGTTCCATAGATATAACTTCAGGATCCGGCCAGCTGCCGGGAAGATTATTCTTACTTCTTATTATTTTACTCCTTTTTCCTTTTGGCCCGCCACCACTGCAGCTGCTGCGTGTATATCGCTGCGTGGAAGTGGCGGGTGTGCGGTGCTGGCCGACGGGGGGAGATGGCGCGGGGCCACGGCTGCTGCGCGCCACGCCCAGTCATTGTATGGCGCACCAACAGTGTCGTTCATTTTTGTTTTCATTGGCGCCTTTCTATTGTCTTTCTTTTCTGCCAGTGTTGGCTTGACTGTCTTGTATGTTCTGGATAATGTGTGTGAAGTTTTCATCGCCCGAAGTTCTTACTTTGCTTAACTTAACTGCGCTGTGCTGTTTGTTGTAATTATTTCTCGTTTATTTTGCCACTCCGTGATCCGCCACCACCAGCAGCTGCTGCGTGTATATCGCTGCGTGGAAGTGGCGGGTGTGCGGTGCTGGCCGACGGGGGGAGATGGCGCGGGGCCACGGCTGCTGCGCGCCACGCCCAGTCACTGTATGGCGCACCAACAGTGTCGTTCATTTTTGTTTTCATTGGCGCCTTTCTATTGTCTTTCTTTTCTGCCAGTGTAGGCTTGACTGTCTTGTATGTTCTGGATAATGTGTGTGAAGTTTTCATCGCCCGAAGTTCTTACTTTGCTTAACTTAACTGCGCTGTGCCGTTTGTTGTAATTATTTCTCGTTTCTTTTGCCACTCCGTGATCCGCCACCACCAGCAGCTGCTGCGTGTATATCGCTGCGTGGAAGTGGCGGGTGTGCGGTGCTGGCCGACGGGGGGAGATGGCGCGGGGCCACGGCTGCTGCGCGCCACGCCCAGTCACTGTATGGCGCACCAACAGTGTCGTTCATTTTTGTTTTCATTGGCGCCTTTATATTGTCTTTCTTTTCTGCCCAGTGTTGGCTTGACTGTCTTGTATGT